CTGGGCGCAGGAGGGAAACTGAGGCCCGGCGCAGGAGGAGGCCGAAGCCGGGCACAAGGGGAAGACTGAGGCCAGGAAGCAAGAGAAGACCGAAGCCGGGGCACGAGAGCGAAATCGAGGCCAGGCCAGGCGGGGAGACTGAGTCTCAGATGCACAGGGAAACTGGCCCAGAGAGCTCGGAAAGACAGGCTGGGAGGCACATGGGGAAACTGAGGCCCGAGGCCTGCGGGAAGAGGGGAGCTGCTGGCAGGATCCGCCTGGGTGAAACGGGAGGCGCTCAGGACGCTACAGGTTGGTGGCTTGTGCCCAGTCACCAGTGTCCCTGGTCAGTAATGACAGAACCAATGATGGCCGCAACGGGGAGCCATGCTCTCCCCTGCCCTCCTCTCTCTCCTCCACCGCCTCCTCGCTGCTCCCGCACTGCACTGGGCTCCTGGTGCCCCTGGGCCTTTGCACGGCCCTACCCCTACCCCGCCCAGAACGCTGCTCCCTGCATAGTGCGTGTTCACTCCTTCAATCTCCCTCCCTTTCTCTGGCCACCTGAGCTACAAATCCTCCACTCACCATTACTTCCTCTTCCAGTCTCCTTTTTCCTCTGTAACATTTACAGCCCCTGCAAATTTTGTTTCAGTATGTTATATATCTGCTCAATGTGGGCGACCCACCTAGTGCTTCCTGGATGCCAGGCTTGGTGCCAGTGTGAGCTAGGTCCATCAGTCCACACAACCAAGATGACTATAAATACACAAGCAAGATGTGTAGACTATGCTGTGTGATGAAAGAAACGGGGCTAGGTGAGAGAGAAAAGGATTTAGGAAGAGAGGAGCTCAGGGCTGGGGTGTGAGTGAGGCAGCAGGTGCAAAGGTCCTGGGGCAAGAGGCACTCATGGAGTTGGAGAAGCAACAAGGAGGTTGGGGACCACAGCAGGATGCCATGGGGACAGGAATCCAGAATGGGCTGACAAGGCTGGTCACAGAGGTTCCACACCACCCAAGGAAGGGAAGTGAAGTATTTGTCACCCTCTGGGCCAGGCCCATACTGAGGCAAGGTCGGCACCATCATGAATGTGGAAACTAGGGAAGTGGGGACGTACAACCTCGGCCATCAGCAATGAATGATATTGCACTGGATGGATAGACTACGTGGGGCCTGTGGTTCACCCACATGCTGGAATACTACTCAGCCAGGTAAAGGAGTGTGGCTGCGACACTTGCCACACCGTGGATGGACCTTGAGGTGCCGTGCTCAGGGAGAGACGCCCCATCTCACAGCTTCTGTGTCTATGCCCACACCAGGGACAGAGGGTGGAAGACGCCAGCTTGTGGCTGTGGCTGCCTCTGCCTCCCAGGCCTCCTGCTGGTTTTCACATCCTAGGCTCCTATTGGCGGGATTTGGGGCCGAAAGAAGGAAAGACCTGCCTGTGTGTGCTAAAGGGGAAGCCAGGTCCTTCTCTAAGTAGAAGGAGCCTCACCCCGGAGTCCAGCCCCAGCACTGCCCACCTGTCCCTGGCCCCCACCCTCATCCCCTACCACGTCCTCTCTGCAGCAGCCACCAGAGGGCACAATGAACACCTAGTCAGGTCCTTCCCCCTCTGCCCTCCATGGCTCCCATTTCCCTGGGGCCAAAGCCCAAGTCCTCCCCACAGCCCACAGGGCCCTCCAGGGCCCACCCATCCCCTCCCCGTCTCTGCCCCTTGCTCCCTCTGCTCCAGCCACACAGGATCCTCACTGCTCCTGCAATACCAGGCTCCTTGCTGCCCCCAGGCCTTTGCATGGCTGTACCCTCTGCCTGGACTACTTATCCCTGGGCTGGCTTCCTGTGACTCAGGCCTCAATGCCAACATCACATTGTATGCCCAGTCCTGCAGGCTCTCTGGGGCTCCCTGACACCCCTGTCTAAGCTGCTCCTAGGCCCCTTCTTCCCCCAACCCCGCCGAGCACATCTCATTGGTCCTCCCGGGCCCATACCACCATCCCTGTGAGGCCAGGGGCTCCTCTGGTCGCACCCACAAGGCCAGCATCTCCCAGAAGCTTTGATGGATGTTTGTTGAGTGACTCAAGAGAACTGAGCAGGCCCAGCAGGGCTCTGGGCACTGAGCAGGCTGGGGGACCCTATCCCAGCCAGGCCCTCCCAGTGCCTGGCAAAGGGCTCAAGGTGGCCAGGCCCCAGCCACTAGGTCTGTGCCGGGGTGAAGTCCCCTGCACTCTGGGGTTCCTCACCCACCTGGAGCCCCGAGGGTCCCATATGGAATCAGGGTCTCTGCAGGCACCGTTAGGTTCAATCAGTGGAGCAGGGTGGACCCCAAACCCAGCGACCTCACAGGAGACACCTATGGGGTGACAGAGGACCCGGGACCTCCTGGGGACAAGCAGCTTTGGACCTGAGGCCCTGCATGGCGGATCTAGGTGACACTTTCCAGGAGGGCAGGAATAGCGCCTGCCCGCGTGGGACACCTTTCAGGCTGGTGTGACGTGAGTCCCCCAGACCAGACACGGCCATCGTTCAGTATGGCTTTATTTTCTGAAGGGCAATGGTGCCCTCAGACAGCCCCAGCCCTGAGGGCCCCGCCAGGGAGGGTGGGGAGTTTGAGGGAGACAGCAGCCTGGGCCCAGCGTGGGGCTGGGTGGCACGGGGCCCCCAAGTCCTTCCACGTAGGCCCCTCCCTCAGGGCGGGCAGGCGCAGGCATGGGGACGTCTCCAGACAGGATGGCCGTCCCCATCCTAGGACACAGGGTCCCAAGAACAGTGGCCTGGGAGCGGGCAGCCGGAGCCACAGACTGAGCGGGGGCAGCCGCCCGCTGGAAGGTCGTGCTGATTATATTGCTAATGAATCGATACACCTGTCTCCCTGAGATCAACGCAGTCCTTGGCCTCAGCCCTCCCGCCCCACCTGCACCGTCCCTGCTTGGGGGGTCCCAGGCTGTGCCTTCTCCATCACTTCCAAGACACGGAGGGCCGGCTGCCCCCAGCGCATCTTCCTTCCTGGAGGAGAGAACCAGGGCCATAACCCCGAGTAGGGAGGCTGAAGGGAGCCGAGCCGGGGACTCAGGCAGGCAGCTGGGGGCTGCACAAAGCAGAGGGGACAGTGGGGGTCGGGGAGGGGCCTGTGCAGGGAGGCGGCAGTGTGTACAGGGGTCAGTGTGGTGTGGGGACACCCTGTCCCCATGGAGTGCAGGCTCAGTGATCAACGGCGGACATCTGCTGCCACCATGGGCCTGAGGTCGGGAAGGAGGTGGCAGCTCAGGGAGATGTCACAGGGCCAGGGGAGGGCACACGGGAGATCCAGGCGCCCAGAGGCTGCGCCGGACGCTGGGCTGCAGGCCGAGGAGATGCATCACCAGGCGTGGCACCAGGACCACGCCAGGGACCAGTGTGGAGCCCGCGAGGGGCAAGTCTGGGGCCGCGGTCAGCACACACCTGTCTCAGGCGGGCGGGTCCCGGGCCGGCCTCATCCAGTTTGTCCCCAAGTCGGAGTGGCCCCGGGCCTCTGACCAGTTCTTCTCCAAGCAAGTTCACAAAGAAGGAAGAAAGGAAGGAAGGAAGGAAGGAAGGAAGGAAGGAAGGAAGGAAGGAAGGAAGCCCAAAGCAAACCAAAGGTCCCGCATCCGAGGCAGCAACACAGAGGCCTCTGTCACGCAGGGTCTCAGTCGCCGCAGGGGACAAGGCTCCACGTGGCACGGGCAGCCAGTGGCGGGGACATCACTGTGCCTTGGCCTTCACCAGCAGCCTCTGCACGGTCTTGTAGAGCAGGCCAAAGTGCTGCAGACAGACGGTGGCTGAGGACCAGTCCCCGCCACATCCCCGAGACCCCGCTGTGGGTCCCCGGCACCCCTGCTTACCTGCACTGCCGTGTAGGCCATGGCCAGGTAGGCCCCGATGCACACGGCCAGCAGCAGGTCGAAGATGGCTGGCTTGACCCTGGGGACACAGGGGCCGGCAGCTGGGGATGCCTGGGGGCCGCTTTCCCCTGGGCTGTCACTGGGGCCTGGGACCAGCCACTCACCTGTATGCATTCATCACCTGCTTCAGCTGGTCATAAAAGACGAACTCTGGGTCCCTGGGGAGACACCACTTGCTCAGTGGCCAACCTCAAAAGCCGTCCTGGGCAGTGGCCCAGACACGGCCACTGGAGCCAGATGGTCCCTGTCCCTTCTGGAGGAGACTGCCGTTTCCCTGAGGTCACAACACCCTATTTTTGTGGGTGTTAAAGTTAGGGTTTCAAAAGGAAATAGGGTCGCTGGGCTTGGTGGTGCACACCTGTCATCTCAGCACTCAGAAGGCTGAGGCAGGAGGACCACCGAAAGTCCCAGACCAGCCTGGACTACCTAGCAAGACTCTGTCTCAACACCAACCCCCTAAAAAAACAGAAGAGGGCCGGAGATTTAGCTCAGTGGTTCTGCTGCCTGCCTTGCAAGCACAAGGACCTGAGTTCAATCTCTGGTACCAAAAA